CAGTTGCAGGAATTTCATATGTTCCCATGGTCAAAGTACCAGACATGTTTTTTTTTGGGGGGGGGAAGTTTGTGGAATTTGAGGGCGCAACCGTTACGTTGATTCGCGATTTGAAGTTCCAGGAATCGCGTTCTGGCACGGTTTAGGATCATCATGACGCAACAGTCAGGTTGATCCGTGGCGTTGGAGTCCCGAAAATAATGTTTTGGTATGCTTCAGGATCTTCAAACGGTTGTCCTCCGACCAGGCAGTTCCCCCAGTGGAAATGAACCGTGTAGGGGTCTATGAAGAGGGAGCTTGGAGGGAGGGTTTCTGCCAACATCGTCGATGACTCTTGGGTTTACATTGCTCCTCCTCCTCCTCCTCCTCCTCCTCCTCCTCCTCCTCCTGTATCTCTTTCCCTGATAAATCCTCCTCCTACTCCTCCTCCTCCTCCTCCTCCATCTCATCCCCTTCTAACTCATTCCTCCCTGTCGCATCCCCAGGCGCGCTGGTGGGGCGGGCGGGGCGTTTCGCTCCAGACTTCCTTGCCACTTATGATCCCGAAGCATGCAGTCTGCAGGGAGCTCCGCGGAGGGAGGGGGGGGGCCGTTCTCGTGGTGCTCGCCCCAGCGCCGCGCGCGCTCCTCGCAGGAGTCTTCAACGGCTCCACGATGGAGGGCCCTTCGGGGAACACGTGGGGGAGGAAGGGGAGGACGAGGGGAGCAAGGAGCAGGAGAAGGACGAAGCGACCTCTGGGGAGCTTCTCGGGTCATTCTCGGGGCCTCCGGGGAGCTTCCTGGGGGCCTCTCGGATGCCTGTCGGGGGCCTCCTTGGGCCTCTTGGGGGCCTTTGCGGGCTCCTCGGGGGTCTTTTTTGGCAGTCAGTTGCGCCGCGCACAGTCGTCTTACAATTTTGTGACAGCTTCAAGGATCGAGGGCGGCTAGTTGTCAAAATGTGGCTCTCGCGTCAGCTCCACAAATTCGTTTTGATGGTTTGTCACAGTTTCAAGGGCTCGCAAGGCTTAAGTCCCAGGAGCCGTGTTCCGGTGCAAATTAGGAATGCCAGGACGCAGCAGTCACGTTGATTCGCAGTGCTGATGTCTCCGGAATGGTGTTCTGCCACGGTTGAGGATTGTCAGGATGCAACAGTCACATTTAATCGCGCCGCTGGAATCCCAGAAATTATGCGCTGGCGCTGCTGAAGACTCCCAGACGGCTGTCTTCCGATGGGGCACTTCCAGCGGTGAAGCAAGTTCTCGTCGGGACCTACGACGAGGGAACTTGGAGGGGTGATTGCAACACTGTTGACGTGACTGATCCTCCTCCTCCTCCCCATCGTTCGACTCGGACTCTTGACGGAGGTTGACTACTCTGTTGAGTTCTCGCGCGTCGCGGCCCGTCGCAACACAGTCGTTGTGCCAAGTCTACCACAAACTGCAAGCGGAACTTGAACGTGTGCCTCATCGTCGGTCGGATCTCGACGTTCACTTGCAGCTGCTCCTGCGGCCACAGTGGCTGCGGGATCCGTAGGAGTTGACAACATGGGCGGGAAGTTACGTGCGTTCCTCCTCCTCCTCCTCCTCCTCGTCGTCGTCGTCGTCGTCGGCGGTGGCTTCTTCCACCGCCGTCGCGCTGCCCTCGCGGCCCTGGGCTTCCGCTTGTGCCCCCGGCCCCACCGAGAAGCGGCGCGCGACGCCCCCTTGCCGGATGGATTCCCCGGAAGGAGCGGCGCGAAATTGGGCACGTGGCGGGGACGGGGGGGGTAGCCCCACATGCCGCCCAACGCGAGTGGAGGCAAGCCCCCCTCGGAAGCGAGTTCGATTGTGTCAACACCCATTGGGGATGATGATGAGGAGCAGGATTTGCATGAGAATGAGGACGCGGATGAGGATGATGATGATAATGATGATGCTGGTGTTGCTGCTGGTGCTGATGATGATGATCATGGTGATGATGGCATTGCTGATTACGATGATGATGATGATGATGATGATGGTGGTGATGATGATGATGGTGGTGTTGATGATTATAATGTTGATGACGATGGTGATGATGATGATGATGATGATGATGATGACGGAGATGATGCTGCTGATGAGGATGATGGTGATGCTGGTGCTGGTGCTGGTGCTGATGATGATGATGATGATGATGATGATGATGATGATGATGATGATGCAATCGATGCTGATGGTTATGCTGATGCTGATTATGATGCTGATGGTGATGGTGATGGTGATTGTGATGGTTGTGTTGGTCATGATGATGCTGATGATGATTGTGGTGGTGATGATGATGACCATGATACTTACAATTATGATGAGCATGCTCGCGACGGCTGTACTAGTGACGATGCTAACAATGATTAAGATGATAAGCTGCTGATAGTTACGATGGTTATGATGGTAATGATGCTGATGATGATGCTGATGATGATGATGATGTTGGTGGCGATGGTGATGGTGATGGTCATGATCACCATGACTGTCGACGACGGTGATCGTAATGATGATGACGACGATGATGCTCATGATGATGATACAGATGATGCTGCTGATGACGATGACGATGACGATGATGATGATGATGATGATGATGATGATGATGATGATGATGATGCTGATGCTGATGCTGATGCTGATGCTGATGCTGATGCTGATGCTGATGATGCTGATGATCAGTGTGACGACGACGATGCTGCTGATGATGATGATGGTGAGGAAGAGGAGGAGAAGGAGGAGGAGATGGAGGAGGAGAAGGAGGAGGAGGAGATGGAGGAGGAGAAGAAGGAGGAGTTGAAGGAGGAGGAGGAGATAGAGGAGAAGGAGGAGGAGGAGGAACATGAACATCAAGACTTGGCGGATGAGCAGGAGGAGGAAGAGGATCGACGTTCGGGGGTCGAGTTATTATGATATCTTCCTCCGCGGACCTTTTCGGAGGCCTCTCGTCGCCCCGGCGGGATTCGTTTCAGACTATATTCAGGACGCCCTCCACGAGCTTCCCGGGGCGATCGCGAGGAGCGAGGGCGAGGCATCGGGATGGATATGGTCGGGGCGGAAAAGAGGGGGGTGATGGCTAGGGGGGGGGGATATCATGGCGGGGGCCATGATATCTCCCCAGATCTCGTGGCGCCTCTTCTTATTTCATTACGTCCCTGGTCCCCCCGCTGGGCCGCGCACATGCCGCCGGTCATAATTTGCACCCCCCCCTCTTGGACACCCCCCTCTTGGCCGCTCCCGATATGGGGAAGGAAGATCGGAATTCGTGAGGACGAGCAGGTGAGGTTCTGTCAGCCCTACGATGGGGATGAATTGCCCCAGGGCGTGCCAGGGTACTCTCAGAGTGTTCGGGAGCGCTCTGGAATGGCCTTGGCACTGGTGCTTCCCCCAGACGCAAGACTTGCAGTCGTTGTTGCAGGCTCCCTCCGAATGGAAGAGCGAGGAGGAGGAGGAGGAGGAGGAGGAGGAGGAGGAGGAGGAGGAGAAGGAGGAGGGGGGAAGGCGGAGAAGGATCGAAAGTGCAGAAGCTGACCAGGCCGTGCAAGCCCAAGGCCAAGGGGACCAAGGGGGTCTGGGGGCTCGCGTCATAAAGGCCTTGGCCGCGGTTCCTTTGCCTCCAGGGTATAAGCCCTGGCCAGATGAGCAGGATGAGGCTGCTCAGTGAATGATTTTCTCGAATAGTCTAATTTCGCTCGCTGTGCCTGTTTCGAGGAGCTCGCGGTGGATTCCCGAAGAAGAGAAGGATCGAGAGATCCGAAATGGGGACGCAACATATGATGGTTGATAGCAGTTCCATTCTATTCGATTCAGGATGCGCTGACACTTTCAAGGCGGAAGTTGCCCAGATGGTGGCGAATTCCCGCCGTCCAGCAGTTGGAAAATCAGTTGCTGCCGGGTGCCATCCCCCTCGTGCTGTCCCATGCTCGGCGTGCCAGGAGGAGGAGGAGGAAGAGGAGGAAGAGGAGGAGGAAGAGGAGGAGGAGGAGGAGGTGGAGGAGGGAGACACTTTATCGTGGCTGCGGCGCAGTGGCCTATTCTTCTCCCTCTTGGGCTCCCCAGGCCCGTTCTCCGTCCGCGCGAGTTTTGACGTCTTCGATGTCGTCGGTCATGGTGTCGGACTCTTCTGCGTGTCGGGTCCCGTCCAGGGCCCCATGGGCAACCCCTCCGGGGGCGCTGCGCCTCTTCCAGGGAGAAGCCGGAGCGGACCGCTGGGAGTCCGCGGCGCGTGGCCCACGCCCGCAGCCCTGGGCGGAGGAGGAGGAGGAGGAGGAGGAGGAGGAGGAGGAGGAGGAGGAGGAGGAGAGAAGGAGGAGGAGGAGGAGGAGCAACCGTTTTTGAAGGCGCAAACGTTTGAAGGCAAGCGTTTCTTCAAGGCAGGCGTGCATGAAACGCACGCAGAGCACGCATGTTCCACTGAAGGCCAACAGAACCATTGAAGGTAGCTTATGCGTTGCCTTCGGTGGAGAACTGTTGCCTTCAGGGGAACACTTTTGCCCTCATTTTCCGTTTTCCGTGAGGCAGCAAGACATGCCTGCAACGCGTTCTTTCCTTCAAGCAGTGTTGCCTTCAAAAATATGTGCCTTCAGTTCTGCTTGCGAGATCGGAGCGTCGGTCCCCATCCTACTCCGTCGCCCTTCTGCCCTCCCATCCACCCCTGGTGGGTTCCCTGGGCTCCTTTCCCCGGAGGTCCCGCCCAAGGTGCCGCCGAGCACCTGGACAAGCAGGGTGGGGAAAGGCTGGGCCTCCTCGTCGCGCTCGTCCTCGCTGCTGCTCTCCCTATCCCTCTTTCTTGTCGTTCCTGCGCTGTTTTTTCGCGCCTGGGAGAGGCAGTGCTCTCGACTGCCCTGTTAGGCACCGACCGACCGAGCAGCAGCAGGAGGTGGGATAGAGAGATAGGAACGGGATGTCCTCGGGGGCTTTGGGGGGGATGCCGTGGGCCTCCTGGGGCTTCCAGGGGGCTGTGCTCCAGGCTCGCTCGGGGCCTGGCCGGGGCTGTCGATGGCTTTCCCTCGCCGCCGAGGTTTGTCACTGCCGCGCTGACGAGGGCGGCCCCGCGCATGTCAGCGCTGCAGCTGCTCGACACGCTCGGCGTCGCCGCGCGCCTGCGGCTGTCGGCAAGCGTGACCGCGGTGGTGCTGCCGCGCCTGCAGCGCGGGCACCCTGCCGCAGACATCCAGCGGCACCCCGGTCGCACCTTCTAAGCTCTACCGCTTTTCGGAGCAGGTCGCTCATCGTACGGCGCACTTCCGAAGAAGCCCTCGTCTTCGAGGACCGAAGGAACTGCCATCTCTTCCTCGGCGGAAGGCGGTGGTTCGTTGGCGGAAGGCGGCGGAACGTTGGCGGAAGGCGGCGGCAGTAAAACACAGTACAACGAGGCGACCTCCGCCGGCAGAAGCCAGCGGAAGGAAAACAAATTGCCCCCAAGAGATGGCAGCAACTTTGGGTTCAGGGTTCCCTGAACCCGCCATAGGAGCAACGCAGGATAACGGCTCCGATTGTGTCGGATTCGCTCGTAAGCTGCCAGCGCAGTGTCTCGCGTAAGTGCCCTCTTGTTCAATGTGGCGTGCCGCGCTGGCGGCCCGCGTAAGACACCGCGTAAGGTCGCTATCGTAGTGGGTCCCGGAAACGGCAGGGCCGTTTTTTTTGTCACCGTATTCAACCAAGTGTCTCTTGAAAGTGGACATGGTGAACAAACGGCGACCGGAAAGGGCACAAAAACAGCTTTGGGATTCGATTCGGAACCAGAACCATAATCAAACTGTGATGGGACCGGGAAAAAATCGATCGGCGACAGAACGGGCAACGAAAACGGCAATACGGAAACGGTAACCAAAAACGATCCGTTTCTGGCGTCGCTCGCGTGCGTGTGCCCGTAGTTCGCGGGACCCCGGCCGGTGCGGTGGCCACAACTTGTGGGAGTCACTGGGGATGTGGGGTGACCGGACGGGCGGTTTCTGGGCCTCGGTTCGCTCTAATTGCCAGGACGTCTCGGGCGGCTATGGCCTCCAGGGTCCCAGAGCCGTTGTTCCCAGCCTCGGACGTATCCCTATCCTGAAGATTGGCACGCCCAAAGGCGATGACAATCTTAGGGATGCGCCCTCAAAAACTAAGGGAGTCCCTAAGATTGGCATCGTGATGAGGAGATGCCCAGCACAGGGATAGGGATATGTTCCAGGCTGGTAAGGGCCGTGCGGTGAGGTCGTTGGGGGCTCCGAGGTGTACGCCGCATCTTCGGCGGACCTCGCCTGCCCCCACAAGACTTGGCGTCCGTGCTTGTGCCCGCCGCGGGCCCGATGCGGGCGGACTCGACGCGGATCTGGCGTGGATCCGACGCGGATTCGGCGCGGACCCGACGAGTCCGACATGGGTTCGGCACGGATTCGACGCCGACAGGACCGCGACGGGACAGGCGAGGTCCCCCGAGCAGGCAGCATAACGAGGTCACCGCCCTGTCTAACGCCGCGCCGCGTCGGGGCGCCCTGCACACACCCGCACCGACCCTGGCCCGGCCCACCCCTGGCTCAAGGTTGGTGCAGGTGCGTCCTCCCAAGAGCGGCCTGTTCTGCCTGCGCGCCCTCGGTTCACATGTTGCGCAGCTGTCAGGGGCACATGAGCGACGCAAGAAAGCGGGGTCGTCTTCGCCGACACTCGCGTGTAAGCTGCCCGCGTAGAGTCGCGCGTAACCGCCCTCGTTTCCAGCCAAGCGTGCCGCGCTGGCGGCCCGCGTAAGCTGCGGCGTAAGGTCGCTATGTCATCTCGCGTAAGAGCCGTCTTTGATCGCCGCCCACATGAGTCCGGACGGTGATTGGACAATGAGTAGCGGGCTAGGGTAGTCAGGCCTCGATCGGAACGTGAGGGGATATGTGTATTGAGGCTAATTTGAGGTAGCTGTAATATCTGCACGAGGTGGTTTTCAAAGCACATGAGGGATATGTTAGGACAATCGTGTAGTTGCATCACGGTCGCAAAATATGATAACTGTACTGGGTGCCAACAGTTCACGTGCGCGGTAGCTGTGCTATCCACCCGGGGAGTGCACGATGCGTCGGCAATGCAGCCATTGTGTGGCCAAGAGATTATGCAAGGCGTCAGCCAGATAGTTCGAGGCATCCGCGGGGTAGTTGTGGGAGAATAGCAGGAGAGTTGCTAGGTGCGAAAAGGCCACGCGCGGCGCAGACCCGAGGTGCGCATGATACGCGGCTAATGATGTAGCTGCCCCCCGCTCCTTCAATCGCAGGATCGGCAGTCATGTGTCCGACTCTAGAGTTGAGGTTGCCGAGCTGGCGCATTGGAGGAGCCCTTTAGGCCAGCTTTCTGACGGTACTGGGGCAGGAGGCATTGGGGTCCCCACCGGGACCGTCGAGCTCCCACCCACTTTCGCAGCAATCATTGCCGCGAGGGAGTCGGCTAGTGCTCGACCGCGTGCGCAAACCAGCGCCACACCGTCACACCTCCTGGAGCAACCCAGAACCGCCAGTGGGAGGGGGACAGCATTGCAACCCTGGCCCACGCTCCCAGAC